TTGAATGAGGTGTTCGTCATTTGCGTAAATGGGTTTTCAGCTCGTCGCCAAAATGGGAAAAACCCGTCTGGGCCCGTCGTACAACAAATTGATTAAAATTAAAAATTATAGTATATTGTGCACCTAGGGAGGAAAATAGTGATTTTCCCGAGTGCGAGCGAAGTCGAGAACTGCAAACACACGAGGTGAAAATCATTTTCCTTCCGTGGTGCACATACTATTTTTTCTAACACACGTAAACGAAAGCACAAATATGCAATTATTTAACGGAATTTTTTAAAATAAATACTATTAATTTTATAATGTTAATTTATTATTACCTAGATTATTAGAAACAAATATTCACAATACTGATTATATTGAGATAAGAATGTTTGACAATTAAAAATAATTATTATTAGATACAAACTCGTTAATAATAATATATTCATTTAACCACAATTATAATAATTATTATTGTTGTAATATTTATTTAAAATGCATTATTAATTAAAAAAATAACAATATTATACATATTTAATCTTAAAAAATATATAGCTCTTTTTATATTTTGCATTTATTAAAAAAAATTACAAATTATTATAGCATCTGGAAGAGAATATTACTTTCTCTCCCCGTGACGTCACAGCGGGGAGGGAAAGTAACATTCTCTCCCTGCCTCCGGGAAAGACGTACTTTCCACCCTCTTTATAGGTGAGAAATGATGTACTTTCGGTGCGTGTGTTAGAAAAAATTATTTAGTTTGACATCTTAAAAGCTCCTTCAAATTTTTTATAAATTTGTTGAAAAACCAATGAAAAAACGAATTTTGAAGATAAAATTTGTTTTTAAACTTGCGAGGGGCTTCTCACTCATGAAATAGCACAATATTCTGATTCAGATTTCGTGAAAGTCTGTCACAAGTTCGTCAGAGTCCGCCAAAGTCTGTCACTGAACGCGTGCACAAGGAACTACTATCGGTGTAAAATGTTAAGTCAGTTGGCTTTGAACACTTATATCTCAAGTAAAAAAAATCGCACAATATTGAAACAACTTGGAATCAGTAGCTACATTTCTACGTTACTGTAGAAAATGAAGGAAGTACAAAAAATTATTTCGAGAGTTATTAATTTTTGAAACACAAAAGAACATGTTTTTTGACATCATTTTCACTAGTATCTACTTTCGGACCTTGTAGAATGTTCAATAAGAATAATATCAAGTTCCCAAATTATTTCTATACTTCTTGAACCTTTATGAACAATAATATCTAAATGGTTAACAATTATTATAATAACTATTTGAGATTTTTAAACAAAACAGTAGTCATTTTATCTTAGTTTAAAATTAAGATACAAAGATGAGACAAAGTACACGTTTCGGAAAATGTGACACTGATTACGATTCATTAAAATATTTTGTAAAAAAAATTATTTCATGTAATTATTTACAAAAACATTTTTAGTTTTTTGCTTTAGTGCACTATTAGCGGTAAGGTGCACACCATCGCATCATAAACCATTTCCCATAGGCGGCACGAGAAACTGTATTATCCCAGGTGCGATTTTTTGGTCGGCCCATAGTTGGTCCAACTTTTACAAAGTCGGTCCAACTTCTCGTGCCAGAGGTTGGGCCAACCATACAGATGATAACGGTTCGCCGTCTAATGGCGACGATGGTTGGCCCGACAACTCATAAGGAAGTTGGCCCAACTTACAATGCATATGTTGTGCCAACTATACATTTCAATGGTTGGTCCAAAGACTGACGCCAAAGTTGGCACAACTTTAGATGCGTAAGTTGGGCCAACCACAATTTTCAAAGTTTGGTCAACTTCAACAGCGAAAGGTAAAAAATTATTAAAAAACTAAATTGTTTAAACAATTAACAGGTTATTATTAGCGGGAACATCAGATATAACCTTTACCTATTATTATTAAACACAATCTCATACATACATTTTCGAAAAAATCTAACGCTCGCTGGGATCGAACCCCTAACCTAACGCACCGAAGACTTATACACTGACCACTACGCTACGCTCACATGGGAGTGCATAACGCAAAAGGTATATTAAAGCTGCAACAGTCGGGCCAACCGTGGCCCAGAGTTTGGCCGACCAAAATAATGTAAGTCAATTAAACTGCGTTTCACATAGTTTTGCCAACCGTCGGGCCAACCGTGGCCCAGAGTTCGGCCGACCAAGAAAGTTTAAGTCATTTAAGCTGCATTTGACAAAGTTTTGCCAACCGTTGGGCCAACCGTGGCCCAGAGTTCGGCCGACCAAGAAAGTTTAAGTCATTTAAACTGCATTTGACAAAGTTATGCCAACCGTTGGGCCAACCGTGGCCCAGAGTTCGGCCGACCAAGAAAGTTTAAGTCATTTAAACTGCATTTGACAAAGTTTTTCCAACCGTGGCCCAGAGTTCGGCCAACCAAGAAAAATCAAGTCAATTAAACTGCGTTTCACAAATTTTTGCCCACCGTCGGGCCAACCGTGGCCCAGAGTTCGGCCGACCAAGAAAGTTTAAGTCATTTAAACTGCATTTGACAAAGTTTTGCCAACCGTTGGGCCAACCGTGGCCCAGAGTTCGGCCGACCAAAAACTATAAGTCAATTATACTGCTTTTCTTGAGTTTTGCCAACCGTTGGGCCAACCGTGGGCCAGAATTCGGCCGACCAAGAAAGTTTAAGTCATTTAAACTGCATTTGACATAGTTTTGCCAACCGTTGGGCCAACCGTGGCCCAGAGTTCGGTCGACCAAGAAATTTTAAGTCATTTAAACTGCATTTGACATAGTTTTGCCAACCGTCGGGCCAACCGTGGCCCAGAGTTCGGCCGACCAAAAACTATAAGTCAATTATACTGCTTTTCTTGAGTTTTGCCAACCGTCGGGCCAACCGTGGCCCAGAGTTCGGCCAACCGAAACTGAAAGTCTTTTAAACTACGTTTGGATGAGTTGTGCCAACCTTTGTCGCCAAAGTTGGCCCGACGGTTGGTTAAACTCTGCATTTAATGGTTGGCTTGCAAAGTCGGGCCAACTGTGGGCACTAGTACTTGCCAAAGTTGGGCAAACTCTGGCAACCAAAACTTCGCTTGCCAAAGTTAGGCCAACCTTGGGCCAACCTTCAAACTCTGGCGGCCAACCTAAATTCGTACCTGGGATTGTAGACACGAGCAAGTCAGTGAGGACTTCAGATCATTTTTACCGATATCTAAGGGAAGTGTTCCGGTTGTGGGCACCCTTTTGTTTTTGCCTCATAACATTTGTCCATGTGCATATTATACAAATGTATGTGTACGAATTTAAAGCTAGAGGTCTAAGGTGACTGTCAGTAAAGGATTCCTTTAAATAAAAAAGTTTTATTTGAAATTTTTTGACAAAAAAATTTTTGTACCCGGTTGTGGGCACCCTTGAAAAATCCGCTAAAAATGGAAAAATATTAAAGGAAACCAACACAAATAAAGAAGAAATGAAAGTTTCTTTATTTTAAGAGACTTTGCCGGGATAAAGAACAAAAATGATGACACGTTTTCACACTATGCTCATCGCTAACAAAAGCATAATGCTTGCATGTGAAGTAGCTAGTACGCATACCATAACGCACTTCTAATGCACTGAACGACTATATTCATCGCATTTAATGGAGTTTGCGGCTGTCACTTTCCTTGGCAGAAAGTTTAGATAGATGAGACAGTAGTCCACATCATTGTCAGATGGTAGAGCCTCCTTAACATAAAGGTGCCCACAACCGGGAATGACAGTCATTTTTTAAAAAGACCAACACATTTTGTGATGCAGGATTTTGGTTAAACACGAAGGTAAATCACAAAATATAATGACAACACTGCAAAAAAAATTAAACCCTTTTTTCTGAACGAATCTACACCCATATGCTGCTCTTCGAAAACAATACAAAATTACTTTTTTATTTATTTAATGCAAATTTTCTTTATTATATGCTCACAGCTATTACACAAATGCATATATTTGTTTCGTTATCAATACGAAAAGTCCGTATTGTCAACGAACACGACTTGCAATACTTAAATCAGTAAAATCTGCTTGCTGTCAAAGTTTACGTAGGGGTGCCCACAATCGGGGCGTGCCCACAACCGGTGCACTGCCCCTACATACAATTTTGAAATTTTTAACACAGGAAAAATATTTTAGGTGTTTACACCTCTGTACATCCTTTGAAACCAGATCTTTAAAGTTATAAATCAGTTTCAACCACAGAAAAAAATTACCAAAAAATAGCAGTAGTGCTAAACTTTGAGTCTCGGACAAAAAGACTTACAGCGGTATGCACCTGACTGCTAATGGTGCAATAAAGCAAAAAACTGAAAAAACTTTTGCAAATAATTAATAGAAATAATTTTTTATAAAATTTTCTCATTGAATTGTAATTAGTGTCGTATTCTCTGTGACATGTACTTTGTCTCATCTTTGTACCTCAATTTCCGACAAAGATAACATGACTACTGTTTTGTTTAAAAATCTCAAATAGTTATTACAATAATTGTTAATCGTTTAGATATTATTGTTCAGAAAGGATCAAGAAGTATAAAAAAAATTTTGGAACTCGATAGGATTCTTATTGAACATTCTACAAGGTCCGAAAGTATAGATACAAGTGAAAATGATGTAAAAAAACATGTACTTTTCTGTTTACAAAATTAACCCCTTGGCAGTCGATGACGTGTATACACGTCATGGTGCAGGTGGGCTCAAACAGTCGATGACGTGTATAGACGCAAGCAGACTTTTGGCTACAAAAACACACAGATTTGTCCACAAATTGATACTCGGGGGTTTTCGGGGTATTATCGTTTCAAAAGTTTTTCGTAATCAGCGAAAACCCTCTAGTATCGAGTTTCAAATAAATCCGATGACTGACTATACTTTTTGAGCCAATAGTAGGTAAAACGCTCAACTTCGTATGATTTCGTAAAAATCTGTCAAGCAATGTTTAAATGAATCTAACGGAATCTCAGTGTAATATTTGTTTTTACTTACAATATACATCTAGCGGTACTTCTTTTATAACAGGCTTTCCAATTTCTCCAGATTGAGCTCTGCATTCTAACTTAGTTCCCCATAACGATTTTGTTACTTGATCAATAAATAATTTATTGGCTGTAAAGAGGGACCGCAAAAAGTGCCCGTTTTTTGTACATCGACAATTATCACAAAACGTAAGTAAAAAAATTCGGCCAAAAATCTTCTTAATCTGCGTGAAAATTGTAGTTGATCATAATTCTTGGTTTTTATTTAAGGGTAGCCAAACTCCTAATTCAACCCTCTAAATATTTACAAATTATGAAATTCATACCACCATAAATTCAACAAAAATAATTAATTATCAACGGTAAAACTGATAAATAACTAAAATAAAAAATCCATTTTATAAAAAAACAATCTCAATTACCTTAAGATCCTCAAAATGCTTTTCAACCCCCAAAAAACTACCCCTATTTGAAAAATTGACCAAAATAAACACAAAAAAAATTATTACTCTCCAAAATCTTCATCAAAATTATAAATAAAATTAATTAACTAGTGAGACTTAATTTCCTTGCTAATGTAGATTAATCCACCCTTCAAAAACTACCCCTAATTAAAAAAATTTACCACATTACACATTTAAAAAATTATTACTCCGCAAAATCTTCACGAAAATTATAAATAAAATCAACTAACTAGTCAGACTTTAATTCCAGGCTAGAGTTAATCAATCAACCCCAAAAAACTACCCCTTATTGAAAATTTTATTATATTCCACATTTAAAAAATTAATACTCCGCAAAATCTTGACGAAAATTATAAATAAAATCAACTGATCAGCCAGACTTTTATTCCATGGTAGAATTAATCAATCAACCCCCAAAAACTACCCCTAATTGAAATTTTACCATAATACACATTTAAAAAATTATTAATGCGCAAAATCTTGACGAAAATTAAGAATAAAATCAACTAACTAGCCAGAATTTAATTCCATGCTATAGAAGATTAATCAACCCCCCAAAAACTACCCCTAATTGAAATTTTATCATATAACACATTTAAAAAATTATTAATGCGCAAAATCTTCACTAAAATTATAAATAAAATCAACTGACAAGCCAGACTTTAATTCCATTGTAGAATTAAGCAATAAACCCCCAAAAACTACCCCTAATTGAAAATTTTACCATATTACACATTTAAAAAATTATTAATGCGCAAAATCTTCACGAAAATTAAGAATAGAATCAACTAACTAGCCAGACTTAATTTACTTGCTAAAGTATATTAATTAACCCCTTAAAAACTACCCTTAATTAAAAAATTTACCATATTACACATTTAAAAAAATTTTACTTCTCAAAATCTTCACAAAAATTATAAATAAAATCAACTGGAAAGCCAGACTTTAATTCTATGGTAGAATTAATCAATCATCCTCTAAAAACTACCCCTAATTGAAATTTAACCATTTTACACATTAAGAAAAATTTTACTCTTCAAAATCTTCACGAAAATTATAAATAAAATTAACTAACTAGCCAGACTTTAATTCCATGTTAGAGTTAATCAATCAACCCCAAAAAACTACCCCTTATTAAAAATTTTACCATATCACACATTTAAAAACTTTTTCCTCCGCAAAATGTTCACAAAAATTATGAATAAAATCAACTAACTAGCCTGACTTGATTTACTTGCTAAAGTAGATTAATCAGCCCCTCAAAAACTACCCCTAATTAAATAATTCACCATATTACACATTTAAAAAATTTCTTTTACACAAAATCTTCACGAAAATTATAAATAGAATCAAGTAACTAGCCAGACTTTAATTCCCTGCTAGAGTTAATCAATCAACCCCAAAAAACTACCCCTTATTAAAAATTCTACCATATTACACATTTAGAAACTTTTTACTCCGCAAAATCTTCACGAAAATTATGAATAAAATCAACTAACTAGCCTGACTTGATTTACTTGCTAAAGTGAATTAATCAACCCCCCAAAAACTACCCCTAATTGAAATTTTACCATATTACACATTTAAAAAATTTTACTCCGCAAAATCTTCACATTTAAAAAATAATTACTCTGAAAAATATTCACTAGTTAGTCGATAAAATTTATAATTTTTGTGAAAAGATTGATGAGTAATGATTTTTTAAATGTGTAATATGGTAAAATTTCAATTAGTGGTAGTTTTTGGAGGGTTGATTAATCTACTTTAGCAAGTAATTTAAGTCTGGCGAATTAGTTGATTTTCTTTATAATTCTCGTGAAGATTTTGCGGAGTAAAATTTTTTTAAATGTGTAATATGGTAAATTTTTTAATTAGGGGTAGTTTTTAAAGAGTTGCTTAATCTACTTTTCCAAGTTAATTAAGTATGGCTAGTTATAGATTTTATTTATGATATTCGTGAAGATTTAGCGGAATAAAGATTTTTATATGTGTAATATGGTAAAATTTTCAATTAGGGGTAGTTTCTGGGGGTTGATTGATTAACTGTAGCATGGAATTAAAGTCTGGCTAGTTAGTTGATTTTATTTATAATTTTGGTAAAGATTTTGCGGAGTAATAATTTTTTTAATATGTATTGTGGTATTTTTTTCAATTAGGGGTAGTTTTTAAGGGGTGGATTTATCTACTTTAGCAAGAAAATTAAGTCTCACTAGTTAATTGATTTTATTTATATTTTTGATGAAGATTTTGGAAAGTAATAATTTTTTTTTGTTTATTTTGGTCAATTTATCAATTAGGGGTAGTTTTTGGGGGTTGATTGATCTTCTATAGCATGGAATTAAATTCTGGCTAGTTAGTTGATTTTATTTATTATTTTTGTGAAGATTTTACGGAGTAAAATTTTTTTAAATGTGTAATATGGTAAAATTTTCAATTAGGGGTAGTTTTTGGATGTTGATTAATTAACTGTAGCATGGAATTAAAGTTTGGCTAGTTAGTTGATTTTATTCCTAATTTTCGTGAAGATCTTGCGCAGTAATAATTTTTAAAATGTGTAATATGGTAAAATTTCAATTAAGGGTAGTTTTTGGGGGTTGATTGATTAATTGTACCATGGAATTAAAGTCTGGCTGATCAGTTGATTTTATTTATAATTTTCGTCAAGATTTTGCGCAGTAATAATTTTTTTAATGTGTTATATGGTAAAATTTCAATTAGGGGTAGTTTTTGGGGGTTGATTGATTAATTCTACCATGGAATAAAAGTCTGGCTAGTTAGTTGATTTTATTTATAATTTTTGTTAAGATTTTGCGAAGTAAAAATTTTTTAAATGTATAATATAGTAAAATTTTCAATTAGGGGTAGTTTTTGGGGGTTGATTGATTAATTCTACCATGGAATTAAAGTCTTGCTGGTTAGTTGATTTTATTTATAATTTTCGTCAAGATTTTGCGGAGTAATAATTTTTTAAATGTGGAATATAATAAAATTTTTAATAAGGGGTAGTTTTTTGGGGTTGATTGATTAACTCTAGCATGGAATTAAAGTCTGACTAGTTAGTTGATTTTATTTATAATTTTCGTGAAGATTTTGCGGAGTAATAATTTTTTTGTGTTTATTTTGGTCAATTTTTCAAATAGGGGTAGTTTTTTGGGGGTTGAAAAGCATTTTGAGGATGTTTAGGTAATTTAGAATGTTTTTTTATGAAATGGATTTTTTATTTTCGTTATTTATCAGTTTTACCGTTAATAATTAATTATTTTTGTTGAATTTATGGTGGTATGAATTTCATAATTTGTCAATTTTTAGAGGGTTGAATTACGAGTTTGGCTACCCTTAAATAAAAACCAAAAATTATGATCAACTACAATTTTCACGCAGATTAAGAAGATTTTTGGTCGAATTTTTTTACTTACGTTTTGTGATAATTGTCGATGTACAAAAAACGGGCAAAAAACAGGCATTTTTTGCGGTTCCTCTTTTCTTGAATATTCTTCCAACTTCGGAGTATCTATTACATCATCTAGAAGTTTACCATCTTGCCACCATGTCACTGAAGGTTTTGGTCGCCCTAAAAATATATTTTTAGTTGTATATGAAAACTTTATTTACTATTAATGGTTTTTACCCTTTGGCAGTCGATGACGTGTATATGTTAGGTTCAAAGACCGAAAACGACCGATTTTTTCATTAGTTATGTTTAGTTAAATCATAATTAATTAATGGGTAATGGTAAAACTGCGGGCTGAAAAACCTTAATTTAACCTTGCGAATTTCTTTTACTTCAGAAAGAAATTTCTGTTTCAAAAATGTGAAAGAAAATTATACACTAAGTAGTATTTTTTCCATCAATAAAAAACTGAATTTATTCAAACAAATATGATTAAAAGTTTTAAATTCCGTAAAATTTTACTTTGAAAATTAAATTCTATTTTATTCAATAAAGCAAGAAAACATAATTAATCCTGACTCGGAGTGATCGATTTTTTTAACATCTTTTAATAACACAAAAGAAACACAAAAAGTTGGCTACACAAAAGAATAAAGTGTCTTGATCTGGGGTCGAGACATATGTATTCCAATGTATTTCGATGCGCTAAATCCGAATCCGCTATCAGAATTTGGCCAATGGGTCCTGGTTTCGCCCTAACCTCAAAAATACCCTAAAATCGTTAAAATGGTCACTTTTGATTTATCAAAATTGAATGTAAACGCATGTTGACAATTTTCTAAGATCCCTTAATTTAAATAAACTATTCTATAAGCTTTTCAATTAAAAATTCATATAAAACATTAAATCTATCGAACCTAACCTCAAAAACACATCTAAGATTCCAAACAAATAAATTATACCATACACAGCGCAATAAAAAAAAGTTAAGCTCATGAAAGTTCCAACTTATGTGTTTCTATGACTGTTGATTACGAAGTTGGTGTTAGTTTATCAAAATTAAAAATGGCGGATCCAATATGGCGAACAATATAATTAAAATTTGTTTAAAATTGGCTTGAAAATCGTTACTTGGGGGTTTTTGGGGTCGCTGATGACGAATCCTATGTCGGTTTCTAAAAATTCAAAATGGCGGATCCAATATGGCAGTCTTAATTATTTTAACGATTTTTTAAAATTTATTACTCTCGGTTTTTCGGGACCTTTGATAACGAATCCTATATCAATTTTTATAATCTTAAAGTGTTACGAATTGTTTGACAATTTAATTGTTAGACAAATCGTATATCAATTTTTATAATCTTAAAGTCTTACGAATTGTTAGACAATTCGTAAGACTTTAAGATTTTAAAAATTGATATACGATTTGTTATCAAAGGTCCCAAAAAACCGCGAGTAATAAATTTTAAAAAATCGTTAATATAATAAAGACCGAGATATTGAATCCGACATTTTGAATTTTTAGAAACCGACATGGGATTCGTCATCAGCGACCCCAAAAACCCCCGAGTAACGATTTTCAAGCCAATCCAAACAAATTTTAATTATATTGTTCGCCATATTGGATATCATTTTCAATTATGATAACCTAACACCGGATTCGTAATCAGCAATCATAAAACCACCTAAGTTGTAACTTTTATGAGTTTACATAATTTTTATTGCGCTGTGTATGGTATAATTTGTTTGTTTGGAATCTTAGATGTGTTTTTGAGGTTAGGTTCGATATATTTATTGTTTTATATTAATTTTCAATTGAAAAGCTTATAGAATAGTTTATTTAAATTAAGGAATCTGAGAAAATTATTAATATGCGGTTAGATTCAATTTTGATAAATCAAAAGTGACCATTTTAACGATTTTAGGGTATTTTTTGAGGTTAGGGCGAAACCAGGACCCATTGGCCAAATTCTGATGGCGGATTCGGATTCGGCGCATCGAAATACATCGGAATACATATGTCTCGACCCCAGATCAAGACACTTTATTTTTTTGTGTGGCTGTCATTTTATTTTAATTTTATTATTGCTTTGAAAGAAATAAAGATAATTAAGTAAATTTTTTTAAAATTAAAGCTTAAAGTCTATACTTTAAAGATGAAATAAAACGATTGCTAAAAAATGAAAATTTATAATTGTCATTAACAATTGCAAATTGAAGAATGTTCTCAATGTTTCTGAAAGATGAAATTACGATGTATTGATCCGCAAAACTCCAAGGATTAATTTTAAAAAAAGAAAAATCAGTAACCTCCAATATTATAGAAAATGTGTAGATTTTTCTGCCAAAATGCAGGCGAAAATCGACTTGATATTATCTTTGTAAAAAACGTTGCTAAATTTGCTACTATTTTAAAAGTGTCCAAGTAGTTGTGCGTTTACCTTAGTAGATTAAAAATTATTAATGTGAACGGAAGTTGTGCAACTTTTTCAAAAATTCGAAAATTTTTATTTATTGTAATTAATCTTACTTAAACTTTGTACAAGGTTAATTTTGGTATTTTATTCGAATTTTGTCGTCAGAATAGTGAAATTGTGAATTATGAATTAAAAATGTCAGATTTAAATATTTAATGGTTGAAAAAATCAAAAAGTAACAAATTGTAATTTTTTGCACTTAAATTTAATTTGAGTGAAATTAGTAGGTCTGCAATAAAGATTTTTTGTTAAAATCATAAGTTCAGTTCGTTAAAAAATATTTTATAAGAAGAAAATTTATCACTATTTTGAAAAATGTTAAACTTTTTAAAAGGCCAAGTTTTTAATCTTTCTAGAATTGACTATTAGGTACATGATATTTAATCATCTTTTAGCATAATTGAACAAGACATACTTTTTTATATCTCAGATATAACTATATAAATGTTTTCAGTATCAAAAAATAAAAAAAAATATAATTGTTACGAATTAGGTACTATCAAGCTTGATTTACAGATATTTTTAGGGATGATTATTCAGATCTATAATGGTGAATTTAACTACTTTAAGACTAAAAAAAGTATATAGGTAATTAATAACTAAAACAGAAAACAAAACAATTTATTTTGCACTAAGAGAAATAGATGGTCCTTAAAATAAAATGCAATTAGTCGAAGGTCAAAATTTTTTTTGCAATTGTTTACATTCCCGTTCAAAATGTCAAAAAAATCGATTTTTTTTTGTTTTTATTTTCGGATTTCTTATAGTGTCAAGAATAATCTCCGAAAATAATATTGCAAAATTCGAAGTAAAACAAAAGTTATACATCCTCATTCTTCGCCATGTCAAAGATGTTTTTGTATGCGGTTAAGCAATCGAATGATTTCAATTTTTTCTCATTTGCATTTTTTAAAAAAGACAAACAAAAATGTATTTGGTGTTGCTGATCACAAGTTAGATATCAAATTTTCAAAATTCAAAATGGCGGATCCAACGTGGCAAAAAAGAAAATTTTTTTATTTTAATTTTTTTTTTCGTTTAATTTTTTTTTTCGTCTACCATATTGCATCCGCCATTTTCAATTTAAAAAAAATTAAGTCATATTCGTAATCAGCGACTCCAAAACCCCCCGTAACGATTTTCAAGCAAATCCAATGATTTTGAAAAAAAATGTCCGCCATATTGGATCCGCCATTTTGAATTTAAAAAATCTGATTCCATATTCGTAATTAGCGACCTTAAAAACCCCCGAGTAACGATTTTCAAGCAAATCCGATGATTTTTAAAAAAAAAGTTCGAAACTTATGAACAAAAACTTTAACCCATTAACGCCTGAAACCTTTGAAATTTTGTGTTTAATTTAAGATATAATTTTATATATTAAACATGCTCCCTAAAAATAACTGAAGCGTTTCTTTATGTTTTTGGGGTCGCTCTACAAGATTCCATGCTCAGATTTTAAATTTATCGCATAGAAAATTAAATATGACGAATTTTGTGCACCAAATTGCGAAAAAAATGAAATTTTTTTTTTAAATAATTATTTCTTACTGAAAACATTTTTTTCAAATGAATACAAGTGTCACAAATTGGCACAAACTTATTAAACTTTCAAAATATGCAATAGCGGAAACAAAAAAAACAAAATGGCGGCTTCAAAATGGCGCTAATTTGAGAAAAAATTATTTAATTTTTTTTACAGTGCACCGATTCAGGCAATAGCTATGAAATGTAATAGAACTTAGTGTTTATATGTTTTTGAGGTCTCTCATCACGAATATGTACTCGGATTTTTAAAATTCAAAATGGCGGATCCAATATGGCCGACGAAAATTTTAAAAATTTACTTTTTTATTGGTTATTTTATGTTATTTAAAAAAAAGGTTAAACTAAATTTTATATGCAAAAGATATAGTTTGGCATCAATAAAGAATCTCTACAATAAATAATATAATTAAACATTTTTAATTTTATAATATTGGCATCAAAATTACAGAATTTTGATTATTTGAATCTTTGTTTCCATGATTACTTATAATTGTTTATTTTTGTTTTCTAACATGCTAGTGATCCATAGTTTTTGAGATAAATTTTTGTATTAATTAAAATGCGAAAGGCAGGAACATATAATAAAAATCGTTCAAAAGTTTGTTTATTGTGTTTTGGAAGGTAAAAAATTATAATTCGAGTGCAAGGAAAGTTAAATAATTACTTTGAGGAAATGTGTGAGTACGACCCTTGTGATGAAAGGTTACCTAATGCTTTGTGCACGAATTGTCAAATAAAACTATATAAAGTTAAAAGTGGTACAGAAATCAATCTTAAATTATAATTTTCTTCTTCTCTTAAACCACTCAACAAAATTAATACTCGTTTGAACAGCAAAGCTTTGAGCCTCTGTTATGTTTGTCAACATGTAAGAAATTCTGTACCTATAAATATTCGTTCTTCGAGCTTAAAAAGTGTTACTTCCAAGGGATTTCTTACAGATATAACAAAAAAAGCAATTTCAGGTATGATATTTTATAACTTTCGTGTAATTTTATTATTTTCTATATCTGTACACCTGACTTCCGAAACTCATTAACATTTTCATTAAAATCTAATTTTTAGGAAAAATCAATACTTTTTCAGAAAAACGTTGCAATTACTGTTTTTCATCAATTGGCAAAGGATACTGCTATCAATAGAACTAAATGTTTC